GTAAGTTATGCTATGTTATAAAGTATGTCATGTAACGATTATGTTAGGTTATGAGATTATATTATGATATTGATGTTGTATGATGCATAAACTTTCATATGCCATTTTATGAAAGATATGTAATATGTTCACTCGTATCCTATGAGACAATCGAAAGTCATGTATGTTAATTACGTTATTCATGTCCACATATGAGTACAGACACGTCACATACATATAGATGCTTCTTCATTATGATGAGTGCGAACGTGTATATTACAATATCTATGTTTTGCCATGATATTATCCGACTCCTTTCCTTCTATGATTCTAGTAGTGTGATCATGCCCTAGCTGAAGGATAGACTTGGAGTGTACGTATAAACTCGAGAATACAAAATAACAGTAACTCCTGTCCTTCTATGATTCTAGTAGTGTGATCATGCCCTAGCTGAAGGATAGACTTGGAGTGTACGTATAAACTCGAGAATACAAAATAACAGTAAAGCCTCTTATACATAACACTATTCAACTAGCCAACGCATAAAATGTTGTATCTTTAATTCTCAACAAATTAAAGATAAAAAATAACACATAAATATTATAATAAAAAGGACACTTTCCTAAAGTCAAAATTCCTTTTTAAAGAATATAAAGAGTATGCAAACTAAGGGTTAGTGGCTATAAATACAATACCCATTTGGCCAAACAAACTCATCAAAGACTAAGCTAAGCATTTTCTTACCACCTACCAAAGAAGCAATAAGATGTTGTGTCCTCCTTCTGGTATGTTGTTCCTATCACTTACTCCTCTAAATGTTTTGAAGTTATTTCCAAATGCTATGATCGAGCAGTTTGAAATCTTTGAAGTTGTCGTATAACTGAAGTTATATGATCTTTTTGTCTAACCAATGATTTTAGATCTTTCTGAATGTTCGAGTCATCTATGAATATAAATATATTGATATTCTTCTAGACAAATATCAAGTATTTGTATTGTAATAGCTCTCGCTTTGGCCCGTTGCGTATCGTCATCAACCTCACGGTTTTAAAACTTATCCGTTAGGGAGAGGTTTTCATACCCTCAAAGGAATGTTTCATTTCTCTCTCCAACCAATTTGTGATATCACGGTAGTACGTGCCAACTCTACTGGCTACCCGCATGATCAATGCCCTCTCATAAGACGGATTCTCCCTGCAAGATTACCACTGACTACCCGCATGATCAATGCCCTACCATAGGACGGATCCATTGTGTAGGGAGGATTTGTCCTATGGGAGGGCATTTATCATACGTGAAGTCAGTAGAGCTTTGATCATGCGGTTGGAGAGGGGAATGAAGCATTTTTATAAGGTTGTGGAAGCCTCCCCCTAATGATGTATTTTAAAACAGTTAGGCTAACGGGGATACGTTAAGGGCCAAAGTCGACCATATCTGCTAGTGGTGAGCTTGAGTTGTAACAAATAGTATCAGAGCCAGGCATCAAGCGGTGTGCCAGTGAGAACGTTAGGCTCCCAAAAGGGATGGATTGTGAGATCCCACATCGGTTGGAGAAAGAAACGAAGCATTCTGTATAAGGGCGTGGAAACCTCTCCCTAGTAGATGCATTTTAAAATCGTGAGACTGACGGCGATATGTAATGGGCCAAAACAAACCATATATGTTAGGGGGGCTTGGACTCACTAATAAATTTTATTCATTTGTTTTGAATTTTTATTATTTCATTGGGAGTTATGTGTATTAACAAATTTAACACAAATGTGTATTTTAAATAGAAAAAAGTGAATGGCCGGAGCTTGTTTTCGTAGAATATTCCATTGCTGCTAAAATAATAGAAGAGGAGAATCCTCATGTCAAAGCAGAAAAGATTCGAGCTTGGAGTGGAAGACGTAGAGATCTCAATTGTTTACGAGTTTGGGTTGACGTTAATATTAATGATATTTGTGTTTTAGTTCCTAAAATTGGTTAAAGATTGCACACGAGTATAGTTGTGTAAATTATAATATAAAGAATATGATATTACTAATAAGGTAGTATTTAACTACCACTTTAATTATTGAATCGTTCCAAAGCTATCGCACTATTTATGTTATTAATAATGCATGTCAAACTTAGTATATTACATACTAATTCGTCACTACAATTTTACTCTCTTTATTTTTTTAGTTCAATAATATGCTGAGGTGAGAATTCAAATCTCTGATCTCTTGTTTGAGAGTACAACTTTATGGTACTCGAGATATTCTCATGTTGCCTATTTTACCATAACTTGGGGAAGAAAAATCTACCGTCCAATTTCATGTAACAGAAAAATAAATGTTAATGTGTATATAAATAGTTCTCGTAGAAGAAATGAAGGCATATCTGACTAAGAAGCAAATATCATCGTAAAAATCAAATTTGAAGTGATATTTACGAAAATATATGTACATACAACGACAAACGTTAATGTGTTAGTAGATAGCTTATGATAGTTGTATGTACATGTATTCTCGTAAAGGTCTTATTTGTTTTAACGTTAAAAAGAAATGAAAAACTAATGTGAAATCGAACTTTATCCTAACTATATAATGGTCTCCTTAGCAAATATCATCGGCTAGCTTGAATTCCTTTGTCCTTGCCTGAAAAAGAATATTTGAACCATGCTTCAACCCAACTCGAGTTGAATCGATGCTAAGTCTGTCCTGAACTAATTTGAAACAGGGTTAAATCAATCCAAAAGGCGTTGAACAATTCTGAACAAGTTGAGTTGCTGCGAATTTGTGAATTGAATATAAATATGTTGAACTGGTTGAACCGGTTGAACCAACCACTAGACTGGGTGAAACTCGCTAAACTAGCACGTCAATTGCTAAACCAATTGAAATTCGTAGAATTGATCTCAATTTTCATTAATGTGAAATTTGGTACAACTAGTAGAGGTCATCCGTGGCAACCCTAATTTTTTTTTTTTAATTACAATTAATGTCGCTAATACATACTTGACATGACTAATGTGTTCGAAAAATAAATACATCTAAAATATTTCAAAAATGGTGTCATAAACTTATGGTTCGTAATAAATACAATGTCATGAAATAACAAAGCAAAATATATATGTCATAAATCAAATAAAATAAATAAACCTCCGACTAACCTAAGGGCTATTAATAGACATAAACGCCACTACCTTATGAACCCTATGATTCCATGGCTTTCATTGAGACGTCATCATCGTATACGGAAAAGCGACACAGCTAGATGGTTGTTTCTTCCCACTCCTTTGTAACACTAAGAAGGAATCTTAACATAACTCTCTTCTAAACGATAGCTCATACGGTAGTCCATCTCCACATCTATCCATTAAACTTTGACAAGATCGTACCACCTTATCCAAATCATAACTCAATAACTTTAAATCAGCTTACCCTCAAACCTAGCTTAATCCTTTCAATTCATGCCAAGGTGAGGAAGATTCTACGTTTCACCATCCTCAAAGCCCGACCTCTATTGAATGCGGTTATAGTGTTAAAAAATCTGACAACCCGATTTTTATGTGACTCGAGTCGCTACTATCTATAAAAGCATAAAAGACCGAGTAAGAAGGATGGTAAAAATTTCTTCGTTTAAAAACATAATATAAATAAATTTTATTTACAAAACCATGTTAAAGTTTGAATACATTGGGCCCAACAACCACACTCGTTCATGTCTTGTTCCTATTCTTGACCTGAAAACTTAAGGCACTTTTTTTTTTTTTTTTTCGTTCTTGTGTGGTTCCTAGCTATCTTCGTGTATTAATGGACTTGTCATATGTAGTGCAACTTTAGGGCATAGTTGTAAACATACTTAGACTTGAGTCATCCTAATCTTATCATGAGGTAGCATCATGGTTACTTGAAAACCAAGTGCTGACTATGAGCTCATTTGGGGCTAGGGTAGTCTCCTGGTTGCTCGAAAAATAAGAGTTATCCTAAAACTTATTATGGGGGAGCATCCGGGTTATTTTAGAACTAAGTGCTAATCTTGAGCTCATTTTGAATTAAGATAACCTCCTAGTTGCTCGAAAACTAAGGACTATCCTAAAACTTGTCGTGAGGTAGCATCCTAACTACTTGAAAATCAAGTACTAGCCAATCAACTTGAAGTCTACCCTAAAGTTGAAAAACACAGAATATACGAGGAAAAAACAGACGATGCATACTGAAGTTATACGTAAACGAAACAATCGAGCTAGTCCATTAATCGAATCATCTAAACAAATTCTTAATCGATCGATTGAACGTGTTTGATGTTTTCGGCTTGGCTTAAACTCTCTTTGTTGTTAAATAAATATAAAGAAAGTTATATATATATATATATATATATATATATATATAAATTCTAATAAAAGTTAAGACATTATTTTTCAAAATTAATAGTAAATTGGTTTAAAATGTTGTTTATAATCTTCAAAAGTGTTTGGATAACGTTGGAAAAAGTAGACATTATTCCAATGTTTTTTAAATATATAGATAAGGTTATAAACAAAAATATTTTGTTCCCTTTTACCTTTAGTAAATTCCTATGGGATGTAAAATTTAATATTTTAAAATTTGTAGAGAATATAATAAACAACAATATTATACTATTTATTTTAATAAAATAAACATTAATGAATTATAATAATAATAAAAATAAAAAAGACGACATCGCCAAAGTCAACATCTTTGTCCTTATTCCTGTCCTACACGATAATACTACCAATAGAACTTCATAGAAAACTACAACAAAAGCCCCACGAGTGTTGGCTATAAGTACGACACTCATTTGGCCGAACAAATTCAACAAAAGAGTACGCTAAGCATTTCCATATAACGAAGCAAAATGTCTGGTACGTGTCCTCTCCATATGTTCTTCTTATCATTTACTCTTAAAATTGTTTTGAAATTGTTTAGAAATGCTACGATGGAGCGGTTTGTAAGTCTTGGTATGGAATTATGTGCATTTTATTGTGAGTGATCTGTATTAACAAATTTAACACGAATATGTGTTTTAAATAGGGAAAAGTGAATGGCCTGAGCTTGTGTTCGTAGAATATTATGAAGTTGCAGATATAATACAAAAGGAGAATCCTAACGTCAAACCACAAAAGATTCTTGCCGGGAGTCCGATGATTTTGAATTACGATCCTTCACGAGTTTGGGTTATTGTCAATATTAAGGATGTTTGTATTTCACCTCCCAAAGTTGGTTAAAAATTACTCACGGCTATCGTTGTAAAAGTTATATGTACGTGTCTATATGAAAGTACTAATAAGGTAGTATCTAACTACCATTTTAATTATTGAATTGTTCCAATACGATCATACTATTTATGCTTCGTCAAACTTAATTTATTATATACTAATTTTTTTCATCTTATTTAGATTAGTAATATACCATAAAGAAAGTTCAAACGTGCGGCTTGTATTACTTGAGCTATTTTCATATTGGCAATTTCACCGTTACATTATTAGAAAATGTAACAGTCTAAGTCCATCGCTAGCAAATATTGTCCGCTCTGGCCCGTTACATGTCGTTGTCAGCTTCACGATTATAATACTCGTCTACTACAGAGAGGTTTCTACACCCTTATAACGACGAATGTTTTGTTCCCCTTTCCAACCAATATGGGATCTCATAATCCAATCCCGGGGGCCTAACATTTTCAAGGACACACCACAGTGTCTAACTCTGATACCACTTATAATAGCCCAAGTTCCCCACTAAAAATTATTGTCTACTTTGGCCCGTTACTTATCGTCATCGTCAATCTCACGGTTTTAAAATGTGTTTAGTAGGAAGAGGTTTCCACATCTTATAATTCTCTCTCTCGAACCGATATAGAATCTCACGAAAAAAAACTATTTGACTGTTGAACTCAAACCTACCGTCACAATTTCATATAATATAATAGTGCTCATAGTGCTCATATTAGATAAGATTGTCAAAGAATTATATATTTTAAAGGCGTTTCATTAATGTCTTTAGAATATAAATCCAATAAAATTTAATGAAAATTAAAGATACGAACTTAAATATTCTTTTGAGAGCTTTACGAAGGAAATGTATAAATACGTCATCGTCAACCTCACGATTTTTTAACCCCTCTCTGGAGGCCAGCGTTCTCGTTGACGCAGCGCCTCAGTGTGTGACTATGATACCATTTGTAACAATCTAAGCTCATCATTAGCATATATTATCCGCTTTGGCCTGCTCCGTATCTTCATCAGCCTCATGATTTTAAAACGCATCCACCAGGGGAGGTTTCCACACCCTCATAAGGAATTTTTTGTTCCCCTCTTCGACCGATGTGAGATCTCACATTCTTGCATTTCCTAACCACGACAGTAGAGTCAATTTCTAAATATTTATTAAAATACTAAGTCATATGCTATTCTTACCTTTTAAGCAAAAGCAAAGCACTCTTATACGAATGACGACCACATCACGTAGGAGATCATGGAACCAATATTAGGGTAGCTGCATTTTTATTTTGCTTATTAGTCTTAGGTTAGTATAAGACATTGTTTTATTTCTTAGTTTACGTTAATTTTTTATTTTTCGTTTATGAAATGTTGTCGGTTTGATTTAAGAATTTTATTTGATTTAAGAATAAAAAAGTAACATTTTTAATTACTCTTTATCGGGTATTGTCTATAAATACAATATTCATTTAGTCGAATAAATTCATTATAAGCTAAGTATTTCGATATAATCAACCAAAGCATTCAACAAGATGTCAGATATATGTCCTCCCGGTACGTTCTTCCTATCATATAAATCTCGATTTCAAAACCGTTCAATTGAAGGAAGGATTTAGTTTATGATCTATACTGCATAAAAATTTCGTCTCTTTCGTTTAAAATTGTTGTATAATAATTGTTCGGCCTAATTTACTTTATTATAATTTTGTCACCTCTAAAAAAGATTTAGATTCTCGATTTTTTCCTAGAGAATTATTTTATATATTAAAAGATTTGGCACGAAAAACGCTATTTTAAAACTCTTATATTTATTTTTGGGCAAATATCTTATCGGTTCGTTCATTTGCATTTCATTTTGAGTTATGTGCATTAAAAAAAATTAACACGAATATTTGTTTTAAATAGGAAAAACGGAATGGCCCGGGTGGGTATAGAATATTCTATTGCTGTTAGGATAATAGAAAAGGAGAATCCTCATGTCAAACTATCGCGGGGAGTTCGAGAATTATGAATTACAATCCTGGACGAGTTTGGGTTGGGTTGATGTCAACATTGAGAATAAGTGTGTTTTAATTCCTAGAGCAGGTTAAGGAATGTAATATTATAAAGTATATGAAATTACTAATAAAGTAGTGTGTGACTACCGTTTTAATTATTGAATTTGTTATTAATAATGGATGTCAAATTTAGTTTATTACATATTAATTCATCCGTTCGATTTCATTTTTTAATCTTTATTTTTTTTTTCAACAATATTTGATTCAGATAATTCTTGATGAACTCTTATTTGAGGGTACAGTCTTGTATCAGTTGAGCTATTTTCAAATTGGTAATTTAAACGTTACATCATTTTTACGATAAAAATAAGTAGAAAATTTTGTTTAACCAACTACAGTCTACAGTTATAATTTCATAATTTCTCGTAGGGAAGAATTGCATCATTCAAATTAGGTTAAATTATAAAATAACATTGATACCGTTTCAAAATATTTCTATTCTTTATAAAGTTACAACGTACATGCATGACAATTAAGGCAGGAAAGAACGTACAATTGTAATATCAATGATCTAATCAACCATTATCATTTCAAATATAGATTTTCATTTTAAAATATGCTTGAATGTTTGATGGATAAACCATACGTCCTTAATCTAAAAGGAAATCGCCACTTTTATCAGAACATTTATGTTCTTTATCATTAATCACTAGTCAAATTAAGTATAGTTCAACTGACATAGAGAAGTTCGAAGTCTACTTTAATTTAAACTAAAAAAAAAGATATCAATAGTATATTGTTTACACTAAGATCGAAGTATGTTTGGTTTTATGGAATGACCTTCATATTTCTAAGTCAAAAACAAAATGTTAGATATAAATTTTTAATAATCGTTAGCAAATAGATAATAAAACAATGATAAAGCTAGATAGAAATATGGTATTTATAAATTTAATCTTAAAAAGCAAAATAGTTATCGATCGGGCCTGTAAAGATAGGAAACTGAAAATTTCGGCGTACATTCTATCTAAAATGCTATTCGACATAGTCATTATATACGACTACCCTAAGCCATTATATACACGTCTAAATCTTTTCTCAACTCTTCAAAAATATAAAATCGTGAGCCACGCTATTATAACCTGCTAAACAACCAAAGTCAACTCACAATCATTGTCATAAAAGAAAGAAAGAAAGAAGAAAAAAAAAACCTCTCTCCACGTTGTTGGATTTGTGACAAAGCAACATAAACATTAACACAAAATTTGGTTAGTTCCATCCAAATCTGTGTTTTAACACCCAACATGTTGCGCACATCTCCCACTTTCTAGCAACCTAATTGTCCGTTAAAGTCATCAGAAATTAGCAGCTAACCATTTATGATGCCTGTGAAGAACAAGAAGTAAAATGGGGATTACAAGAAACTGGTTCAGAAGAGCTCGAAGGAAGCTGAGTAGAAAAGCCAACAGAGACATTGTTTTTCTGCAGACAAACGCCAGCCCAAATCATGATGAAGAAGAAACCAATCTTACATTAGCACAACAACAAGAAGATGAAGAACATGAAGATGAAGAAGAAGAAGAAGAAGAAGAAGAAGAAGATGAAGAATTTACATATGATTCAAGGATACCCAGTTTTCAAAACAAAGATTTGTCTATAGAGGAAGTGGCAGCCATCAAAATCCAAGCTTGTTTCAGAGGCCATCTTGTATTATATCTTACCATGACATATTTGTTCTTTGAATTCTTGATGAATTTGTCTATGCTAAAGTAGGCTACATTTAGTCCTTTGGTGTATTATCAACGCCTACGCTTGTTGTTCAGGCAAGACGAGCATTTCAAGCACTAAGAAGCTTGGTGAAGCTGCAAGCGCTGGCTCGAGGGGTGTGTGCGAGGAGGCAGGCGCGGGTAGCTCTTCAATTCATGCATGCATTGGTTCGATTGCAGGTTCGGGTTCGTGCTCGCCAGCTTCTGAACAGGTACAGTGAAGAGTCTGATTATTGAAGATTGTTTCTTCAAAGCTGCGGAGAAAAGGTATTATTTATACTACTAGCAGATGCTTCTACAGGACATATAATAGTGTGGCTAAGTTCATTCAGAATTCTATTCTTTTGTGTTCATATCCTCTGTTTGATTGTTGTTTGGAGATTCTCTTCTTGACCTTTATTTCTCAAGTGTTTTGCAGCTAGTTTTTGAAGTTTTATGCTTTAGTACGATTCTCGAGCTGCACGAGTTGAATCCAAGTGCCAATTCTTTTCTTGTTAATGATTGATTATCAGTTCTCTTCTCTTCTCTTCTCACAAATAATTTGTACACAACTTGATTTAAGATTCAAAATTCATGCATTTATCAGCATAAAAGAAAAGAAAGAAGATAGAGAGATAGAGGCAGAATCCAACTTGTAATATCAAAGAAAGAAGGCGAATTCTACATTCAGATGTATTAGTTTTGAATAGCATATTATACAGCATGCTACGGGTTATCTACCAATATAGCTGTTAGGTAAAAGAAGGAAACATGAACACAAAAGAAGTCACAAAAAAGGCGGTCCAAACATTTTCCTACTTTTTGTGGGAGGGTCTTATTGATTACCAGCACCATTGTACCTCTGGCGAAGCTCGTCCAGTGTATTCAGTGGTGCTCCCTCTTGAAGGCTGAGAAGAACGCACCCGATATTTTATCCTTCTTGCGTCGATTTTCCCCGTTGTTTTTGACCTGCTTCGATTGAACCTCACTGAGAAACTTTTCGTAATTCAACATGTCAGATATTGCTAATGAGTCTACGTTACCTGCTCAGCTATCTGTTTGAGTATCTCTAAAATTTCAGAGAAGTTTGGCCGTTCGGTTGGATCCTGCCTCCAGCATCTTTCAAGCAGTTCAGCAACAACGGGATGAGCATTCTTCGGTATTGTGGGTCGCAGTCTCTGTTAAACAACGTCGGATAATAAATTAAAGCGTATTGATTGCGGTAATGGTAATATTGTTCAAGAAAATAGATGTTTATACCTTCTGGACTACGCCAACAGCTGCTTGTAATGGGGTCATGGATGAGTAAGGAATCTAGTCATACAACAAAATGGCAAAAGGGAAATCATAAGTACACTAAACTGGAGAAGCCATAAAAACATCCATAAAATGAATACTCAAATCAAAGCAGCTGCTTACTTCTCCGGTTAAAAGCTCCCATAAAGCTATTCCAAAGCTGAAAACATCTACCTTATGGTCATATGGTTTATGCTCAATAACCTTCACATCCAAAAAAAAAAATCATCACAATGAAAAGATATGGCACTTCCTTTAGAATCTAGAGTGACAGACATCGGAAGACTAGTTGATAAATGCAGTAAACAAGTAATTAGTTGAAAAAGGTTTTGCTGCAATGAATTCAAGGAAGACAAATCGCTGGTAAAATGTCGGGTCAGTGAGCGTCAAGAATAAAAGCAGAGCATTTAATGTCATCAAGGTTAGATATACCCTTTCTAACTACTGTGCTCCATCTAAAGCCGTGCTATCAATTGAACCTTGCAGTCGTTCGGTGTCTTAAATTCATCACTGTTATCACTCTTGACAATGTTGGTAAGATCAAGATGCAAATTCTGGTTTATAATTTAATTGATCATAGAAGTGAGAGAAAGCAAGATATGATAGAAAATGCGTCAGACTCCCAGCTAACCATGACTCAGTCCTCGTATACCTCACAAGAATAATAAACATATCAAAGTCTTGAAGAACCAAATTACACACAGCAATTTTATTCTTGCATATGACCTATATAATACTAAATATTTCTTTTTGATAAAGATGATATTAAATTTCAATCGTTCTTGTGATTGAGTAAGGTATATTTCATTTGGAATGATTAAAAAGATATTTAAAGTATGAGAAATTTACGGAAAGCACATACTTCAGGAGCCATCCACCGGTATGTTCCAGTTTCAGCTGTCATTACTCCAGATTGGGTTTGAACTCTGGCAACTCCAAAATCAGCAACCTTAACAACCTGAATTTAAGAATCTAGGATTCAACACTGAATTCCAAATATTCTTTTGCAATTTTTTTTTTCTAATTATGCTCGTCTTTTTTTCTAAATCATACGATATTATGTCATGCTTCATACAAATAGGCACACACATCCATGTTAACGCCCACGTAAATGCACAAAACATAAGTATAAAAGCCTGTTATAAAAAATGAAACAAGAACAATTTTCAATGGAAGATGAAGAGAAGAATTAATGGAGGAGCATAAATGGTTATAGATCAATGAAGATTTCTCATTCTCGTACTTCTATGAATTCCTCTCACCATGTTTTCATCCATCAGAAGATTGGCAGTCTTGAGGTCTCGATGGATTATATTATTTTGATGCAAATAGTTCATCCCTCTTGAAATGTTAATGGCTACTTTAAGTAAAGATGGAAGGTTAAATACACCTCTTTGCTTATGAAGGAAGTCATATAGACTTCCTCTCGACATAAACTCTGTAAAAGATAAAACATGAGCAACAATCAATTGGCTGAGAAACAAAATAAAAAACTCTATCGTGAAAAACGAAATTTCTAGAAGTGACAGGTTGCAACCTTACTATGAAGTCATTTATTTCTCAATTATCATAGCTTACCCGTCACGATGCAGAGGTTTGGAGGTTTGGTACATGCTCCAATGAATTGAACAACATTTTTGTGCCGAACTTTCCTGCAAAAATAGGTACCGAACTTTAGTATGATAGTAAAAGACTTCATCCTGCATTACATGTCCAAGTGCTTTTATGGGTTTTATTCTGAAGCCATCTATCTCCATTATCAATATGGGAATTCTTAAGCGGAAAAATTATCTGGAGAGGAATACCAATGAAAAATAGGTTAAGTGACTTTCTTAAAACATATTTGAAGATGCCATTCTAAGTTTGAAAGACTTAAAAGTTATAGCTTTTCATTAGTCTTGCATTTCCAGACAATTCCCATAATGTTCCTTTCAACAATCCTTTAGGACAATACGAGGATGATTATCCTCCTTTGTACAATCCTCTTTTGAATCGGTATGTTGTTTTTTTATTTATCACATATGACATATGGGGGATGCCAGTATTTTACCACAACCGCAAAGATAAATTAGAATTTTAAGGCCAGAAGCACCTCTTCTCAAGTAAAAGCATTATTTTGAAGACTAAAGATTAGAAAGTAGCGGATGATCTTAAATTGAATTAAAACTTGTAAGAAGTAAACTATCTAAGTCCTACCATTTCTGATTGCTACATTTTTATCCTAAACCCACTGTATCCCATGTTGTCCTTCAATGGGCATACCATGTTCTTCTAAAGCATAATGGTGTTAATAACAATACAGACAAACCTCATTATATAAACTTCTTGAGAGAATTCTTTGACCATCTCTTCGCTAAGACGCTCAGGCCTCAGTACTTTAATAGCTACTTCCTGACTACAATAAGTGCCCCGATACCTTGAGAGGAGAGGGAGTGAAGATTAGGATGAGGATCTATCAACAAGCTTTTTAATTTTTATCAGTTAACAATCATATTTCATAATTAGATAAAACTTACAGGTCCCCGTACGACCCGGATCCAACTTTATTCTCAAATTTTAGTTGTCTGGTGTCAATTTCCCAGACATCAGTACCATCAGTAGGTATTTCAACACAACAAGGAAAAGATTCAACTCTATTCTGGTTATGCTTACCCAAAGCAGGACTGGGCTGCTTTTCTGACCAACACTGTTCCTGCATCCCATTTCAGGTACGTTAAAAAAATTAAAGGAAAAAGAAAACTCAACATTGTATCAGTATAATTGATGGACAAAAGAGAAGATACCTTAAAACTTAAAATTTCTTTTTCTAATACCCTTTTCAGCTCCTCGGTTTCCTAGATTTCCCAATATTCAAGTAGTAAAATATGAAGATGGCTGATATAAAAGATGAATAAAATAGTAAAAAGATATTAGAACTGACTTACCTCATAAGGCCATCCATCGATGACAAAAGCATCCAGAGAGAAACCATCAACAGAGGAGAAAGCATGAGCTTCTTGTATGTTAAGTCCAACATCAGCTAGGAAGCAAGTTAACTGACCAGAACCAAAACTTTCTATCATCCAATGAAGGGAGTGATAATTAAAGGGAAAAAATAACCCTAGCAACTTAAATATCTCTTTGATATTGAGTTTTTGTCATAACTACTTATAGCTTATCAAGAGTGTCTTGGACACAGCCATCAAATGTTTTAAGGACAGAACCGACATTTGAGGAATAGTTATACAATAATAAATACTAAAATGCAAGAAGTCCTATTAAACAGCAAGTGCAGGTCCATCAAACTATTTGTCCCAATTGCCAAAATTTTACTGCAATGTGGGTTAAGTTCTACCTCGTTTTTTACATGCTTGTGCAGTAGTAAAATTCGTTGGCGGGTAGAAAGTCTTTGTCGTGGTCTAACAAACTGGTAGCAGCATGGAGCAAATATAATTGTTTCATGTAGGTGAATGTATTACAATTCTATTTAACAAACTTTCGAAACTACGGTTTTGAGTTTTTAGATAGGTCAAATACCTCACTAAGGAGTTTAGGCTTGTCAATTGTCGCAAATGTGATCTCATGCATTGGCCTACAGATTGTCAATAATAGAACGAAACACAAGGTTACAAAAACATTAATGTGTCAAAAGCAGATAACTAACATTGCATACAGAAAAAGAAGAACGTTATTATTGTGCAGGGCCTTAGCTTTATAGTTTTGTACCAAGTTATATATCTCACTGCCACTTGAAGAATATCCTTATAATAAATTAAACGTGAAAATGTCTTGACTCTCTTGAATCTTCAAGAGATATATGCGGTTGAAAACGAATGACTAGATCATAGTTCTTATTCCTTTTACTATTTTGTTGAGCTGTTCTGTATAGAAACACTCTCTTTTCCTCACCGAGAAAAGCAGGGTGTCATGTTTAGGGCACTGTCCCTATCTTCGACCCCATACTTGCAGGCCTGAACCGCAAATGCTTCAAGATTAGGAGAAGAACCAAAGGTTGGAGGTGGAAGGTTCCTAGAGAGAGAGTGTCACTCAATGAGCACCAAAACAAAAATTAGAATCAGAACATAATTGTAAAAACACTTGTACGGAATAACATTACTGAGCCGCACCCTTGTCTGTTAGAATAATTCAAAGAGCTCTGAGCATCTTCCGTCATTGAAGAATCCAAAAAAGAAGAATTGATAAAGTTTTCATTAGCAGAAGGATAAACCTGCATGACCAAAAGAAACCTAGATAAAGATTCTATGCTCAAAGTCAATTCTCAAACATACTATGTTAAGAAGTTTAAAGCTGATTTCATGATGTACCCTCGAGCATATAACAGAACTAGAACAATTAGGGAACAAATTCTATGAAAATAGCATAGATCCTAGTGATACATTGTCATGGCTTCCAACTCTCTGAAACCACAAACTATTTCAATATCTATACTTATACTACAAATAATGCCCATTACCAATAATAACAAAGAAAAGAGGAGCTGGCAGTTGAACTGATACAATGTTTCATGCAATTGAGTTGCACTTTTAAGCTTTACCTGCACAGAACGAACGTCGAATGCGGGTCGGTTAGCAGGGTCTACAGCCAATTGAAGTAATCTCTTATGCATGAGTACATCTTCCGCCCTGTCGACATTCACATCCAATGCGTATCTATACAGCAATAATCAGGAACTTAACAAAAACGGAAGGAGTGCTCTGGAAATCCAATGAAAACGTGATTATAAATACATATGAACAAACAAGAATAAGAGATGAATTTAGATTCCAAACTACGTACAAAACAACTGATCCGCTTTACAATCTGCAACCATAAATCCACGCTATACAATGCTCAATACTTCCAATTTTCACACTAAGAAAACAAAATAAAACAAAAGGCTAAATATATCAAAATGACTCCTAGTCTCCTAGATAGTTCCCAATTTCATCCATAATCTTTTACAGCATTCAAATTTACTCGTAATGTATTAAAATTTCTCAATTAGGTTCTTCAACGAACATATTGTTCATAGAAGCAATTAGCACATAATCGAAAAGGAGAGAGGAAGCAAGGAAGATACCGAGCCGGGAGGCGATTGAAATGAAGCCATAGCTGATCATCAAATCCAGGTAGATTCGCCTCATGAAAATTGGATTCCTGGATTCGTCGGAGCACTTCGTTGTAGACATCAAGCTTCTGTCGATGATGCCTCGGGTTCGCTTGGGACGAGGAGGAGTCAGAGGCTCGGCTACCGCAGCTCTCAACATCATCTTCAATCGGCATTGATAAGAAGAAAACCCAAAACCAAAAAGCGATCAACAGAATCTGAGATAAAGCTTCAGAGAAGAAATCAAAACAGCGGAACAAGGAATGATTGAAGAATCACACTCGGAAATTGGAATCAACTAGTGAGAGAAGAAGAAGAAGGAGAAGAAGATCATGATGAAGAAGAAGAAGAAGAAGAAGAAGGTTTGTGTGAAGTGGAAAACGGTGACAGAGTGGAAGGAGAGAGAAAGTAGAGCGAGAAAGCTTTCAGGTACTTCTGGTTTCAGTGAAGATACGTTTTACTTTTAAAACAAAATTTATTATTTTTGTCGTATTAAATTTTATTTTAATTTATATATTTAAATTTTTCGTTAATTGAAAATTAATTTTAAAAAATAATGAAAATAGGTTAACTAAATTTGAAGAAGTAATATAAAATAAAAAAGGTAAAAGTACACACGAAAGTATTTAAAACTTTTAGAAGAGATTGACATGTCAGCATACAGTCAGCGTCGAGTCATGTGGGGACCACAAGAGTATATAAAATTGCCATGTTGGATATTGGTGATGATTTTTTTTAAAACGGAAAAAATAAAAGAAAAAGGAGAGAGAAAGTTCCACCATCGAATCATTGTGTTTTTATCATTATTTGCATTAAAATATCTCCCACCGCAATTTCTCTTTTTCTTTCTTTCTTTTAAATATCATATATTTTTTTTAATTTATAATTATTGACTCAATTAAAATTCTATTTAATTATTAAAACTAGATATTCAAATTAATTAAAATTAAAAAACATTATGGAAAATTTATTTAAAAATTGATACTGCAAAATTTCACTACTAATCGTGATTATCCTTCTTTAATAAAGATGATCGAGGCATATTTCTTACATTTTATCAATAAGTTTAATTTGGATTCTCTTCGTGATTTATTTATTTATTTATTAGGTCAATTAGGAAACTTTAACTTGTTAAACTATGCTCGGGATGATATTTTGAGATCTCAATTTCAAACCCTAATTCTCGTGTAGTTGAGAATCTTTTTATGTATATTTTCAAATTTTAAGCTTTTTTTTAAAATTAAATGTGCATACATATAGAATCTTTCACTATACCAAACCGAGATATGACTAAAACATAAGACTTTCGTAGGATTGAAAAGACCAAAGAAATGAGAAATGATTACCCATAATAAAAAGCACAGACTATTACGATCCAACTAGAAGAAACATGTAATGGCTCAAGCCCACGTTAGCAGATATTGTCTTCTTTGAGCTTTCCCTTCAGGGTTTTAAATTGGGATGAACGCTTTTTAATGTTCATCTTCTTAATAGTTGGGGTCGCTAGGAATCTCGGGATTGAAAGCTTAGAACCACCAAATAAACAAAATAATGAGATATCATAAGGTTTGCATTATAAAATGGGATTACATAGTACATGCACCAATCACCATTATCAATCTCAATCATGAAAGAGATAGAGAGAATATATTGAATAATAGAAAATTATAATAATGTATGAGTTCATATAATATAGTTTGTGTTATATATTCTCTATTGGTGCCATATGGAATGAGTTGTCAACAAAACAAATAGTTCCAAAAAAAAAAAAAAAAAAAAAATCATCCACCCAAAATTTTGAGTTGATTAGATTTATAACTCCGATAACATCACAAGAATATTGTTTTTAGTGGAACGATAGCTCGGAAAAGAAAGATTGTCCTGCCCATCTTTTCTTTAATCTTGGGAGAAATACGATTGGGGGCTAATTCAAACACAAGAAATTGTTTTAGTTGCATATCATTCGAACAACTGCTTTATTGGTCCCGAGGGACGGAGGAGGCTAGGTTAGCCAAAAGATGGTTATCGATTCAAGGACACAAGGTGCCCCTGTTTTTTCAGGGTAAGAAGAGGTAGAGAAAATACTTCGACCCAAGGTGCTACAGCGCTGAAGTAACCCATGTCATACTCCCAGAAAAAGCTTGAACGACCTTCAACAAAAGGGTACCTGTACTCGAAACCGACCCAAGTGGATAGGTAGAGAATACCTAGGGGCGCGAGACAACTCTCTCTAATAACAATTTTAAAAGTAGGGTTAGGTTGTCTACCCTATTGTCAGATTGTTAGATCCTGAACTTTAAATTTTTTTTAATAGATCTCTAAACTTTTGATTTTGTGTCTAATAAATCCCTAACATATTTTTTTTAAAAATTGAAATAGGTAATTATTAAATTAAAATAAGATTAAGTTGGAAGACCAATCAGTGGTTGCCAACGCATAATGATTAAGAAGATCCAGCTATAATCCAAAGGTTTTTGGTAGAGATTAAGAAGAGATGAAGAACTGGAACCGCCCTTGAAGATGTAATGGCTGAACCAATGTGCTAAGTGGCAACGTGGAGGGATGAACGGTCCTGATCCTTTCAGTAGTGGAGGCCCACAATTTTGATGATGGATCAATCATGGATATGGGAACCATCAGTTCCTTCAATAAAACACCCTCCTTGGCCCTGCTTTCAACTTTGTAGACCATAAACACATCAAAAACTAGTTCGAGAACGATCAACAAAGGAAGCAATAGCTCAGCCGGTTAAGGCATATATCTTTGATCGAGAGGCAGAGGTCATTGTTCTATCCTACGAAGAAGACGTGCGTGAATAAGAGCAGAGGCCGTTGATCTAAAGAAGAAAAGATAACATACGAAGAAGACGAGCCCGAGGAAATGACACCTAGAAGAAGAATGGATGTAATAAGAGGAAGAAGAGCCTGAAGAAGAAAAAAGAAACACGGCCAAAAGGAAGGGGAACAAACGCTACAAGAAACGATACTCAAACAAGCACGAGTTCGGGTTTGGGTAGCCGAATGGTGGTGAAGGAGTGAATGGGGCAGTGTCAATCCAACAAAGGGAATGGCAGAGAAGAAATGGAAGGGTCAGAAGCACATGAGCTTGGATGTATGGAGATGATCAAAGAGAGCAAATCCAGATTCTATATTGCAAGGAGATGTCTGGTCATGCTCATCTGTTGGCATAAATATGGTAACAACTTCATACTAACAACCCTAAATCCTTCCATAAACGTCTCGAAACTACTTTTAGAGTAGAAATATGTTAGAATTTTAGATGAAAATTATGACCCAAAACGTCCATTACGACTCTAACACCATCAAACCATTCCAATTCACGGCCACTCGTTCCATGTCCTGATTTTCGACGATGACCCAGAACATAGACTAAGACTCGAACACCATCAAACCATTCCAATTCATGGCCACACTCGTCTCATGTCCTGATTTCCAACGATGACCCAGAACGTAGATTAGGACTCGAATGCCATCAAACTATCCAATTCACGGCTACACCCGTTTCATGTCCTGATTTCCAAAGATGACCCAGAACGTAGATTAGGACTCGAACACCATCAAACCATTCCATTCCAATTCACGGCCACACTCGTTTCATGTCCTAATTTCCAGCGATGACCCATAACGTAGATTAGGACTTTAACACCATCAAACCATTCCAACTCACGGTCACACTCTAACGGATTTCTACTCCAAGATAGCTCTAAAAGTTCATGTTCTTTTCTCTTTCTTCTTCTTACTTAAGTTTTGATGTTGGGATTTGGCTATGTAGATGGGAGCTGGTAATGTCGGAGACAATGGCACCTTCCTAGGAGGCTTCGGTAACAACAGTTTATGTTTGTTTTTGGATTCTCTCTGTTCCATGACAACCCCATTGTATACTAAAACTCTCTGTTCCTCTCATTTTTGTGCTAAATCTCCAATGAAAACGACACACTCCAACGTCCCTCCCTACCATCGCCTTCTAATTCCAGAGCTCGGTATCATTATCGGAACATATGAGCAATCGTTTACTTTTTCGCTTCGTTTATAACCACAAAAGGATCTTTGTTAAGATATACAAAAGCTTCCTTTCACATTCAGCATCTCTCTCTCTCTCTCTCTATGTGAAGAATGAATATCAACCATAACATTCACATCTTAGAGATACAACACATTGACTACCCAAATGTAGTATTTACATACCTCTTTTAACTGTAACTGTACAGACCGACCATCTTTATCGATAACTTTCTGCAACGATGCGTAGCAGTCCGCTCTGTGTCCCCAATCCATCCAATGCTGAACTCGACGTTCTAAGAGATGCCTGCAAGCGAACAATTCCTACCCAACAGAACAGTCGCCCTGTTTAGGGATCAGTATCAGAAAAATTCAAACATGTTTCTTCGGGTGGTACCTTTCCCCGTACATCAGTTGATTACAGGAAGTTACTTACTGGAACAACACGTCCAAGTGCAGTTCGACGTTACGCCTCATGTACAGATTTTCGAAGCCTTGTTAACTTATCTCTCCACATAGCTGAAGAAAACAAACGTCAAGCATAAATACCTTCATTTTATGAACATGATCGAAACAGAACGTCTGGATAGGATATGGTTGAAATCCTTTCTACTTATACCTGCATCTTTGTATCGTTCTTCGTAAATAGCCATTTTCATGTTCTTCAGCATATCAAGTTCCTCGGACAAGAAATCTGGACCATCTGCAGCACTGAACAAGAAACTATCGTTTTTAGATATCGAGAAACGATGTATATCGAATAAGCCAACGATGCTTGCACTTATACCAGTCAAGTAGAACATCGAAACATGACTTCCTCTTGCGCACTCTTCCAAACCCGAAACTAACTCTTATCGCATCCTCATAGACAATCTGCTTACTAACGAGTACCGGTATCTGCATATTTGTTACACAGGAAAATGGTGTAAGAGCAGAAAAGTTTAAGTGAAGTAAGAATGAGAGGGTGCAAAGTAAAGAAGCAAGAATGAGAGGGTGCAAAGTAAAGCATTAAATTAGCATATATACAACTATATTGTAATAGCCCAAACTCACCACTAGCCGATATTGTCTTCTTTAGGCTTTCCCTTTCGAGTTTCCTCTTAAGGTTTTAAAACGTGTCTACTAGGGAGAGGTTTCCACACCCTTATAAAGAATGCTTCGTTCTCCTCCCCAACCGATGTGGGATCTCACATGTACTTCATTTTAAAACCAACTAAGTCATCCCAGCAGCTCGCAGAGGTTCTGTAAAGATCTCTGCAGTCGATGGTAGGAATATCTACCTTACACCGATATGCAATATTTAAGGCATCTGAGGGGCGTGCGTCCACACTTAACGTCTCGTTTTCCCCATCCTGCAGATGATAATAGTAGTGTGACAAAGAAAACAAAAACCCGACATAAATTGAAAACTTCAAGAACAGTATTAGCTAATTGTGACTGAATTTATAAGAGCTAACCTTTCTCAAGAAGAGCCGTGCAAAGTAAGTATTCACCACTCTTTCAGTAATTCTCGCCGTCGTGACCTATACGCACAACAGCATAAAACGACATTAGATTACGGCTCGAAACTCCTGTTTCATGGTTTATTCAGAACCTTTACATTGCTTCTAGATTCTCATTTTACCACTCAATTACATTAAAGAAACAAGTCAATGAAGGAAGGAAGGTTCCTAACACTAAACACTACCCACCCATAATTTATTAACCATCAATAGATGAAGAACTAAGCCTCAAATCATATAATACTTGGAAATGCAAGGGGCAAAGAGACTGACATTCTTGAGAATAACCTCGTCCCCCATCGGTATACATCCGTCACGACACAAGTTAAAACAAACAAAACTAGCAGATTTACACCACAACCTATTGGTTCTTGTATAGAAGTAAAAATTCCGAAGCGCATAATCAAAAGCCGAAAAAACTCCATCCTAGTGTCCTTCACACCCACGTCACGAAAGCTCTCAAAGAGAACACTAAACCAAATATAAAATCTACGACCAATCTAAGCATAACTTAGTCGATAAGGCACGGACTACTATCCGAATGTCCAAACCACATCGTGGAACTGAAATAATAATAAAGATTGAACATGTATTTAGTTGTTAAGTTAGAAGGTAGCTCCATACTTCATAGCCAACTTTCACCATAAGGTCTTGTATAAACTGAAAGAGATCTGGGGCTTCCTGTAACATGATCATTAGACAATTAATACCAACCACAAGGTATGAAAAACCAGAAATATGAAGAACAAAGACAAAAAAAAAAAAAAAAAAAAAAAAAAAAAAAAAAAAAAAAAAAAAAAAAAAAAAAAAAAAAAAA